TCTGCTGAGGCCTCAGCCTGTGTGCGGTGGGAGGAGGGGGCGAGGTTCTCAGGCTACAGACTCCTCCACTGGTATTCCAAAAATAAAATTGAAACTGAAAAGATATGATAAGCGCACGGAGGTCGATGGGAAGAAGGAAAGGCTGAGCGGAGGCCTATTTCTTTCTCTTTTCCCTTCTGATTGGCCCCAGCTCCTATTGGCGCAAAGAGACCTCTGTAGAGGATATAGGCCCAAGATGAAGGTGTGACTTTTACAGCATGCGCATGCACGTTACTTGAGTCAAGAGTCAGGTTCACAAATTATCCTCTCTGGAGACCGTTTTCGAAAAGCCTTCAAAAGCGCCGTGGACGCCAGGCCAAAGCGGAGAAAAAAGTTGCGTTTTTGAATTTATGCGGGGTAAGTGTGCACAGGGTCTTGGCAAAAACTGTTCGCGCGTAGGGGAAAACCGTCCTACTGCTGCTTCTTCCTTACATTTTTTTAAGACTCGAACAATTTCATTAGTTAGTTAGTTTTCTTTTTTTTGAAGGCTGTCAGAACTTAGTTTTCTGTCCCATTACACAACGTATCAATGAAAACGTCTCCTGTACGGCTCGCAAAAGTGCCTTTGTTCATCCAAGAAAAGGCTTTTTTTGTTTTTTGTTTTTTTTGCTTTTCAGGAGTTAACTCAGCCGTCCGTATTGGAATCCAAAAAAACGAAGACGGCAGCTTCACAAACACGGATGAAGCCTTTAAAACTCCACATGTAAGTGACGCTATATTGGATTTGATTACTTGTAAGTCACGCAAAGTCGGCGTGACTCCTTTCCTGTGATATACAGTAAAAACCCGCGACTAATAACTTGTTAGGCTAAAATTTGAAACTGCTTCTTATTTTCTAAAATCTTTAAATCAAAAACCTAAATATTTACGAACCTAAAGTGCCTAAATTTTTTGCTTATTACCATTTATGTAATTATGCAGGTTCTTAGTCGCAGGTTTTTACTGCAGCCCGACTTTTTAATGTAGCATTTCTCATTGTCCTTCGTAGTTATAGAAACTGACGCCCTAAGGCCTTATAACCGTTTAAGACTTCGCGCTCAGGTTTCATTTTGCGCAAAATTTTCGAGATTCGCGCTTGGCTTTTGAAAAAATGTACCCGACTGTAATCTTTAAGCTAACACTTGTTCCCTGCATTCACTGTTTTTGTGGTCGACTCTAGAAGTCACTATATGCTTCTGATTGGCCTGTATTTCCGACTCTTCCCTTCCCCCTCCCAGAACCCTTCTCTGTTGCGCATGACATGACGCGGAGTCAAGAGCGTGAGCTCTTGGTTCGAGATTGATTAGCTGGAAAATAGGTCATTTCCATGATGGCGTCATTTTGCTACTTCTACCAGAATCCTTCAGGGTTTTGCTTTTTTGTGCAAATTAAGGGTTTTTGTTATTTAAACCTCGCTAGGTTAACCAAATTTAAATACAGTCGACTCCCGATAACACGAACCCTCGCTAAGTCGAACCAAAATCGATTTCCTTGGATTTCTTTCATACATATACCGTAATTTTACCCTCGGTAACTCGAGCCCTCGATAACTCGAACCTCCCGCTCACTCGAAGTTATTTTTGCTTCCCTTCAGATGACCTCTACATAATTTTACCCTCGATAACTGGAACCATGTCAAGTCGATCAAAAAAGGAAAAAAGTGTGTACTACAGTCCGAAATATTGAATTTAATATTTCAAAACAGCTGTGTATTCTTTGTCTTCACTTTTTGGTCAGTTCAGTTCGATTACAGTGTCCAGCCCTGTGTATTTTAATTGAAGTTCTGTTTTCTTAATTCCAAGTGCATGCATGATACTTTCCCATGTATTCTTTTTTCCCCTTCCCATTTTTTTATTTTCTCATTTTCGGTTACTTGCTTCGACCTCCCGATAACTCCACGAAAAGCGTTTTCCGTTGGCTCGAGTAAATGATCTGTTTAAAAAGGAAAAGGAAGTTATAACATAACCTGAATGTTTTGTCACGTTTTTCCCCGGCAGATGCAACACGTGCAAAACAACCGAGAATCAACATCAACTGGTGCAGTGTGACACGTGCCACTACCACTATCACCTGGCATGCGTCGATCCACCTCTAACGCGCATGCCCAAACGATCGGCCAAGTGTCTTTGGTGAGTAAAGAATTATCTCCCATCTTTAATTTTTTTTTTTGGACAGATGAAGATCGGGGAGAGTAGAAATAGCAATCCATGGGTTGTCGCTAAAGCGAAAAAAGGAAAAAAGGGGAGAGGGAGAGGAGAAAAAACAGTATCATCTCTCTTTCTCTTAGCCTTGCCCCAGTTCTCCTCTTTTTTTGCAATTCAACATCTTCTTGACGTTGGCTGGTAGCGTAGAGGCCTTCATTAACGCGCGGATAATTAAAAGATTTGCTAGAGTCGCCGCGAGAGAAAATACAAAGTTTAAAACACAGAAAGCAAAGAAGAAACTTCTTCTGAGGCGAACAATGAGAGAATTGGTAACAAAAAATCCAGGATTCGAGTGCCGTACTGTTCAGCCATGGTTTAACTTGCTAGATTATATACATGAAGTTTTTCTTTTCGATGAAATATCTATATTGATTACGCTTCCGTTTATTAGCTACCTTTCATATATGCCATCTGCTGTGCGGACACGTCATATAGCCGGTTCTTTAACTAAAGCCTTAGACTCAATGTTTTATAGGTAGAGTGCAAACAGAAATTCAGTCTTATCGTTGATATAAATTTTAAGGGTTGAAATACTGAGTTAAATTGTAGAAAACAAGGCCAATTCAGAAAACAACGGGAACGCCGGTTTTGCGACATTATTATTGAAAACAAAACAATTAAGCACTGCAATATATAGTCCGTTTTCATCAAGTTCCAATTACCTCTCTGTCCTTAATTGACATGTGAGCTGTTCCCTGCTAAGTAGAACTTCTTTATTTGACAACGCTCGGTGTAAGCTTGAAAGGGCGAGTTATTTTCTCTTTAATTAATAATTCATCCGACCAGCAAATGATGTACACATAAAATAATGATGGATTTTATTTAATTCTATACTTTTATTTAAACTTATAAGGAATCTGACGTAAGTTTTCAGTCAGCATCTTTTTGGTAGTTCAAGGTGTCTTCGACGAGGCGTTTGAGTCTTCAAAGTCGAAAAGGTTTCTGAAAAAGGACCGAAACCTAATATTTCGGGCTCTTCTCGTCCTCCTTCTTCTTTCTTTGAGATAAGCCTCAATTGGGGACTCACGACAATGTAATCTGAAGCTCTTCTCAAATGCCAACGAGTATTTGTGTTCTTCTTTAGAGAGCCTCAAAATGGCAACTTTCGCTCTAGGTACGCCGTAGGACGCGTCTTATCTCGTACCCAGATTTTCCACGGTCAAGCGAAGAAGGAGAAGAGAGAAGTTGTTAAAGAATCTGTGTGATCATGTCCCTAATTCTCTTAACAACCCTGTTTTATAACGGAGAGATGTTACTAGGAGAAATTTGGTGCTGATCATTTTTAGGGCTTAAAGGATTAAGCACAGTTAGGCCATCACGACAAAATCCTCATATTAAAAACTGCAAAGGGTGACAGGCCGCACATCTTAACCGGCGTGAAACCTGTGAAAACCTCCTTACATATTGCTTCAATGAGGACAATAACAACAACAATCTTTATTTGGTCTCACTCTTGCTAAACACTAAATTACGACAATGAAAATATTGAAAGTAAAATTAGAGGACTGGGTGCCTAGAATAACCATAGGGGCTAGCGGAGCCAGAGAGGAGAACTCTTTCAGGGATTTTACACTTTAAAAGTTCTACGATAGGTGGGCTGTTATGCCTGTTAAGTTGATACGGCTTCTATAAAGCCGACCAAAGAAAGGCTCACTGCATTCTATACGCAGCAGAGGAAAAGTGCAACAGACAATGTATTCAGTCGGTGTGCTTTCTGTTAAATTTTTGTCCGTTTTATAAGATATGTCTGCTTAACATCGCTTTAAGTTAATAATGATCATTTTCCATAGCTTCTGTTATCTTAAGTATCCGCTTTTAACATCTCCGTACAGTTGAGGTTTACTCGACCTCAGAGCACAATGTTTAGCTGTGCACAGCATGCATTCTTTAAATATGTCCAGATTAGACTCTGGTTGTTGTGGGTATTTATCGCACCTCTGGTGGAGGCATTATTTAAATACGTTATAATGCTGTGTCCTTTGAATGTAGATTTATTACTCAATCGCTTTGTGAATGTGACTGTAGTTTATTAGACGATGGTATTTAAAAGCTCGATATTTAAAATACCATAGCATTTACTTTGTTTACCAATCAATTGACTGGTTTCTTTGTACTACGACATAATATATGCAGGTAAATGTAAGTTTACAAGCAAGACCACGGTTTGGAATCTGACGATTCTCATCAGTTGCTATGTGGTTGGATGGTTGAGGTGAACTCTAAACCATTCCGTATTGTTGGCCGTGATTTGGTGGGCGTTTATACATGCACCCTGGATCGTTTGGAGAATCGAAAATGGCGCGGTTTGATTGGCTCCTTGCCAGCAAATCAGGTTGCTGTAGTTTCGATCCATCTTTTCTGAAAGCTTTAGACACTAGGTTGCGTTTTTATTAAGGTTAAAATTTGGAAGAAAATCAGAGTCTTGCCTTGCTTTTTTGTGAAGTGTACAAACACATCGTTTAAATGTATATCATGTATGATTGTTCCTCGAAGTGGCAAGGCATTATGAGTGAGTAACTGTAACGGATGACAGGCTTCACATATATGTCGGCGTAGAACCGTTGAGAATGTTGAGAAGCTTATTAGCCAGGTCTCGTTTCACAATTTATCAACACCAGTTCCAGCTTCTAACAGAATGTTCTGTTTCGTTTTACATTTCTTATTTTCTTTGCATCAAAATAAGTCCATTGGTTTCCTTACCATATTTCGTTTTGCAGACCTCGCAAAAGACACTGGAAAGACTTTCAGTTCAAACTATGCGGAGCTTTAAATTGTTTTTCATGTCACGTTCTCGTTCATACGAAATAATTTCTTCACTGTGCTTTTTACACTTTGGCGAATTTCTCGGTACCGCCAGCAGTAAACAAGAGGATTTAATGATGAATTCAGGTTGATCAAGAATATCGATGCGTAATTAGCTACGATAAACGAAATTTCAGAAGTATTTATTATGTACAGTGTTGCTGAAGGCAAAAGAGGAAGATAGCAAGCTAGAAAAACAAGATAGACAAATATAGTATTATAGGCGGACTTCCTTTGTCGGAGTACCTCCCTTGTTTGGGCATTTTGAAGCTGAATTTGGCTGTATATCTGATTCTGATGATATTTGACGACTTTGTAAATACGAACATATGCCACGGTTGCGAGAACATACCCTATCATTAAAATAACTGCAGCTACTATTCCATCGCTTGTCGGAAGGAAAACGAATATGAAGGCGGTGATACAACTTATTAACCACAAAGACACCAATGCTATATTAACACGTTTGGGTGTGATAAGCTCCTGATATCGTAGATGGAGCGAAACAGCGAGAAGTCTATCAAATGCGATGACAATAACATTCAGAAAAGATGCAGTGGCGAGAAGATGCCTAAAGTAACTTTGCACACCCAAAACTGTTGGACAGAAGAAGGCTGTGTTTTTTCCACTTGATGCCATCTTCAATATCGAGGCGCTGGTACTAGCGGTCATAAGCTGCGAACACAGTCCAACTGCAAGATCAGAGAAAGCCAGACTTAGAAGCTGCTTTTTTACAGTGGCTGGTATCGTTGAGGCTTTCATTAAGGCGCCAATAACTAAAATATTTTCAAGAGTCGCCACGACAGAAAATACAAAGTTTAAAACACAAAAAGCAAGGAGGGAAGATCTTCTGTGATGAACAAGTTGAAGCAAGGAATCAAGCTCAAGAGTGCAGACCTGTTCAGCCATGGTTTAACCTGTCAAATTGTATAGATGAATTTTTCCTTTTTGGTAAAATATCTACATTGATCACCCCCTCGGTTAATTAGCTACCTTCCATAACAGCCATCTGCCTTGACACATTATATAGCCGGTTCATTAACTAAAGCTTTAGACTCAATGTTTATAGTTAGAGTGCATACCGAAATTCCTATTGTTGGTACAAAATTGTAAGGTTTAAAACACCGAATCGAATTGTAAACAAGGCCAACTCAGAAAACAAGGGAAAGGTTTTACGACATTAGTATTGAAAACAAAAAATTAAACACCGTAATATATAGTCCTTTCCCATTAAGTTCCAATTACCTCAGCTCATATTTGACATGTGAGCTACTCCCTGCTAAGAGGAAAAAGTTGCTTCATTGGAAACGATCAGTATAAAAATAGAACATTAAATCGTCGTAAAACGTTGAAAGAGCGAGTATTTTGTTTATTGATCCGAGCAGCAAATGGTTCACACACATGAAATAATGGTGGATTTTTGTTTTAAGCAATTTTTCACTTTGAAAAAATTAGCACTTGTTCCTTAGTTGAAGGTGTCGTCAGCTAGGCTTTTGAGTCTTCAAAGCCAGTGATGTTTCTAAAAAAGGACTGGAAACTAATTAACCTCAACTGGGGACTGACAACGGTGTTATGTAGTCTGAATGGACTAGCGCACAGCGATCCCAATAACCTTACTCGTTTGTAAGCTCTTCCCCACTAAATGCACAAAAATTAGGATTCAAGTGTATAAATATGGAACTGAAAGTGACACGTTCGTCACGTTCTTGTGTCTCTGACATAAGTTAGTAGAATTTAAAATGCTTTTTCTCGGCTAAGATCCGAGACCATTTAGAGCAAGAACTAATCTACTTGGTCACATAATAATCTTTTAAATTGTAATATTAAAATTCATATTCTCATTTGTTGTTCCCATACGTTTCCTCATGATAATAGTAGTTGAGAGAAGCTGTCAAAGAATCTGTGTGATTATGTCCCTAATTCTCATAACAACCTTGTTTTCTACAGCAGGGATATTACTAGGAGAAATTTGATGCTGATCACTCTTAGGGCCTAAAGGGTTACGCACAGTTAGGCCATCACATGACAAAATCCTCATAGTAAAAACTGTTAGGGGTGACGGGCCGCACATCTTCACCGACGTGAGACCTCTGAAAACCTTTTACATATTGCTCGAATGAGGACAAAAACACGCTAAAAAAACTACTGCCGGGAGACAAATAAACTGTTGAAGGCGGACTTCCTTTGTCGGTGTGCCTCTCTTGTTTGGGCATTATGAAGGGAGGGACAATACAAAGTTTAAAACCTAGATACCAAGGAAGAGACTTCTCCCGTAGGAAACTAGTTTAATCCAATAATCCAGAAATCGATTGCAGTTCTTTTCAGCCATAGTTTGACTTGTCACATTACATACATGTATTTGTCTTGGATAAAACTGATATCTACATTAATTACCCCCTCGGTTTATTTGCTACTTTTCACATCGGCCATCTGCTGTAGCGCGTAATAAAGCCTGTTCATTAACTAAATCCTTAGACTTATTGTTATAGGTAGGGGGTAAACAGAAATTTAATGTCATTTTTGGTATAAATTTCAAGGGTTGAAACAACGAATTAAATTGTATAAAACAAGGCCAACCCAGAAAACAATGGAAGGGGAAGGTTTTGCAACACTAGTATTAAAAACAAAACAATTATTACACACCGCAATGTATAGTCCTTCCATCAAATTCCAATTACCTCTCTGTCCATAATTGACATGTGAGCTGTTGCCTGCTGAGAAGAACCGTTTGTTTAATTGCAAATGCTCGGTATAGGAAATAGAACTTTAATTTATTCTAAAACGTTGAAAGGGCGAGTTTTTCCTCTAAATTTATTCGTCCAGCGAAATTTTTGAAACATAGTAAAATACAGATTTATTTTGTTTAGTTCTATTCTTTTATTTAAACTTGTGACACAAGGTTTCAGTTTTGAAAAGTTTAGCGCCCATTTCGTAGTTGACTGTGATGCCCGCTCAGCGAGTGTTTTTAGTCTTCCAAGCCGGCGAGGTTTTTATAAATGGACTAGAGCCTAACATTTTTATTTGGATTGTTTTCGTCTTCCTTTGTCTTTTTTTGACATTTCTCTCAAATGTAGACTCGCGACGGTTTTTCTGATAGGAATAGCGCACAGCGAACCCAAATGACCTTGCTTATTTGTAAACTCTTTTCGAATGCCAACGAGCATATGTGTTCGTCTCTAAAGAGTGGTAAGATTGCAACTTCCGCTGTAGGCGTACGTCGTAGGACGCGTCTTATCTGGTACCCAGATTTCCCACGGCCAAGCGGAAGAGAGACTTCCTATTTTAAATGAAGACATGCATATGGTTGTAAACAACTACTTTGGCAGGCGATTATTCGGATGGAAATCGATCAGAGCTTGAACAATGGCCATTTTGTCACATCGTTACTGATTCTTTCGCAGTTATCGGTACAGTCATTGTTTTAACGATATTTCTTGAAAACGATAAGGTTCTTGCACCGTAGCTAACATTGTACATTAAAAGGGAAAATGCTTTTACGCTTCTCTCTGTAAGAAGTGTTTTGACGATGAAAAAACAGAGCTAAGTTTCATTACTTAAATGTTCTAAACGCGTCTTCTTGTCTCGCAATTAACAGAGACCAGATGAACAAGGCCAACTCAGAAAACAATGCAAGGGGAAGGTTTTGCCGAATTAGTATCGAAAAGAAAACAATTAAACGCCGCAATATATAGTCCTTGTCCATCAATTTCCAATTATCTCTCTGTCGTCCTCTCTGTCCCATAATTGAAATGTGAGCTACTCCCTGCGAAGAGGAACAACTTGTTTAATTGAAAACGATCGGCATAAAACGAGAACGTTAAATTATGTAAAACGTTGAAAGAGCGAGTTTTTTTTCTTAACTGATCCGACCAGCAAATGATTTACACATAATAATATAATGATCATGGATTTTATTCAGTTCTATTCTTTTATTTAAATTTCTAAGCAATCTTTCAGTTTGAAAAATTTAGCACTTGTTCCTTAGTTCAAGGTGTCGTCAGCGAGGCTTTTGAGTCTTCAAAGCCAGTGATGTCCTTAAAAAAGGACTGGAAACACATTAGCCTCAACTGGGGACTCACAACGGTACGGTGTTATGTAGTCTGAATGGACCAGCGCACAACAAGCTCAATAACCTTACTCGTTTGTAAGCTCTTCCCCACTAAATGCACAAAAATCAGGATTCCAGTGTATAAATATGGAACTGTCTTTCGCTCTCGATTGCCCAGAATAAAATGATACGCATCTTGAAAGTGACACGTTCGTCACGTTCTTGTGTCTCAGACATCAGTCAGTGGAATTGAAATGCTTTTTCTTTTCAATTGTAATGTCTATATTCAAATTCTCATTTGTTGTCCCTATACATTTCCTATAATAGTAGTTGGGAGAAGTTGTTAAAGAATCTGTGTGATCATGTCCATAATCATTCCGTTTTCTAAAGCATAGGTACTACCAGGAGAACTTTGATGCTGATCACACTTAGGGGTCAAAGGGCTAAGCACAGTTAGACCATCACATGACAAGATCCTCATAACTTTGTTCCTGTGATAAATTTGTGAAAGTTATAACGGTGACCATTTTACAAGTCATGTGTCATTTCCCAATTTCTCAACACCATTTCCATTTTGTAATAGAATATTCTTTTTCGTTTTACAGTTTTTATTTTCTTTTGGCCTAAAGCAAGTCCATTAGTTTTCTTACTAAATTTCGTTTACGAGACTTCGCAAAGACACTGAAAAGACTGTCAGTTCAAACTATCCACAGCTTTATTTCCTTCCTTATGACGTGTTGTCGTTCATGTGAAATATTTGCTTTACTGTGCTTTTTACACTTTGGCGAATCTCTGGATACCGCCAACAATAGATAAAAGGATTTAATGATGAATTCAGGTAAATCAAGAATATCGACGCAAAATTAACCACGGGAAATGAAATTTCATTAGTGTTTGTCCAATACAACATTGTACTGGGCAATAAAGGAAGATAACAAGCTACGAAAACTAGAGAGACAAATAAACTATTATAGGCGGATTTTCTTTGTTTGTGTGCCTCTCTTGTTTCGGCATTTTGAAGCTGATTTTGACTGTACATCTGATTCTGATGATATTTTACAACTTTGTAAATACGAACATACGCCATGGTTGTCAGAACATATCCAATAACGGAAATAACTGCAGATGCCATTGCAATTCCTTTCAGAAGGAAAATATATAGGAAGGCAGAGACGCAACTTGTTAACCATAAAGACACCAACACTATTGTAACACGTACGGGCGTGACAAGCTCCTGATATCGCAGGTGGAGCGAAACAGCTAGAAGTCTATCAAATGCAATGACAATAACATTCAGGAAAGATGCAGTGGCGAGAAGATACTGAAAATATAAAAGCACAATCAAAACTGTTGGACAAAAGATGGCTAAGTCGTCTTCACTTGATGCCATCTTCAACATCACGGCACTGATAATAGCGGTCATAAGCTGCGGTAACAATCCAACTGCAAGATCAGAGAAAGTCAGACTTAGGAACAGTTTCTTGACGGTGGCTGGTATCGTTGAGGTCTTCATTAAGGCACGTATGACCAAAAGATTTCCTAGAGTCGCCACGAGGGAAAATACGAAGTTTAAAACACAGAAACCATGGAAGAAACTTCTCGTGTCGAAAACCAGTTGAACGAAATAATCCAGATATCGATTGCAGTTCTGTTCAGCCATTGTTTAACTTGTTACATTTTATACATGTATTTGTCGTGGATAAAACTGATATCTACATTAATTAGCCCCTCGGTTTATTAGCTACTTTTCACATCGACCATCTGCTGTGGCGCGTAATAAAGCCTTAGAATTAATGTTATAGGTTGAGTGTAAACAGAAATTCAGTGTTATTGTTGGTATAAGTTTGAAGGGTTGAAACACCGAATCAATTTGTATATAACAAGGGCAACCCAGAAAACAATGGAAGGGGAAAGGTTTGCGACATAAGTATTGCAAACAAAACAATTAAATGTCATGAAAGGTATTAATCATCGTGGATTATGTGTAGAAAGAGTTTTTGGTATGGTCCTTCCCATCACGTTCCAATTACCTCTTTGTCCATAATTGACATGTGGGCTGTTGCCTGCTGAGAAGAACCGTTTGTTTAATTGCAAATGCTCGGTGTAGAAAATAGAACTTTAATTTATTCTAAAACGTTGAAAGGGCGAGTTTTTCCCTAAATCAGTTTAACCGTCCGGCGAAATTTTTGAAAGATTATAAAATACAGATGGATTTTGTTTAGTTCTATTCTTTTATTTAAACTTTTATGGAATTTGACGCCAGGTTTCAGTTTTGATAAGTTTAGCACCCATTTCGTAGTTGACGGTGACGCCCGCTCAGCGAGTGTTTTTAGTCTTCCAAGCAGGTGAGGTTTTTATAAATGGACTGGAGCCTAACATTTTGGACTGTTTTCGTCGTCCCTCGTATTTCTTTGAGATTTGTCTCAAATATGCTCTGGCAACGGTTTTTCTGACTGGGAATGGCGCAGAGCGAACTCAAATGACCTTGCTTATTTGTAAACTCTTTTCGAATGCCAACGAGCATATGTGTTCGTCTCTAAAGAGTGTTAAGATTGCAACTTTCGCTGTAGATCACAGCTTGAACAATGGCCATTTTGTCACATCGTTACTTATTCTTTGGCAGTTATCGGTACAGTCATTGTTGTAAGGATATTTCTTGAAAACGATAAGGTTCTTGCACCGTAGCTAACATTGTACATTAAAAGGGAAAATGCTTTTACGTTTCTTTCTGTAAGAAGTGGTTTGACGATGAAAAATAGAGCTAAGTTTCATTACTTAAATGCTCCAAAGACGTCTTCTTGTCTCGCAATTCATAGAGTCCAGATCCAATTTCGCAGAGACCAATCTTAGGTAGATATTTATTATAACAAATCGCCTTTCAGCCCAATGTTTAAAATGCTGAATTGAAATTCACATTATTTGTTTTCTTGGTCTTTTTGCGCTGCAAGTCTATTGGTTTTCTTGCTAAATTCCATTTCGTAGAAATTGTAGAAGGAATTAAGATCAAAGGTGTCTTTTTGTTTCTCTTTCCAGCGAGACCAATTTCGATATCGAGTAGACAAATCTCCCTTTTACACGTTTCTTTGAGCACAGCAAGTCCATTGCATTTTCCCACTTAATTTCGTTTCATAAAACTTCGCATTACATTTTTAGTTAAAACTATCCTGAGCTTAAGGTCTTTTCTAATGTCATATTCTCGTTCATGCAAATTATTTTCTTCACTATGTGTTTCACAATTTGGCGAATCTCTCGGTACCGCCGGCAATAAACAATAGGGTTTAATGATGAATTCAGGCAAATTAAGAAAAACGACGCAATTTGAGCTATAAGAAATGAAATTTCAGAGGTGTTTGTCTTGTATAGTATTGTACAAAGAAAAAAATGGAAAATAACAAGCGAAAAAGACTACCGAGACAAATAAACTATTGTAGGCGGACTTCCTTTCTCGGTGTACCTTTCTTGTTTGGGAATTTTGAAGCTGATTTTGACCGTGTATCTGATTCTGATGATATTTGACAACTTTGTAAATTCGAACATATGTCATGGGCGTTATAACGTATCCTGTAAGACAAACAACTGCAGCTACCATTTGAATTTCGTCTGGAAAGAAAATAAATAGGATTTTAAGGACGCAACTTATTATCCGTACAGACACCACTGCTGTAACACGTTTGGGTGTGACAAGCTCATGATATCACAAATGGAGCGAAACAGCAAGAAGCCTGTCGCCTGCAATGACAGTAACATTCAGGAAAGATGCAGCGATGAGAAGATAACCAAAATAAGAATACACGCTTAAAACTGTTGGGCAAAGGGACAAGTTGTGTTCCCTTGACGCCATCTTCCACACCACCGCATAGATAATTGCCCTCATTAGCTGCAATAACAATCCAGCTGCAAGATCAGAGAAAGCCAGACTTATGAACATCTTCCTGACGTTGGCTGGTATCGTTGAGGCTTTTATTAAAGCGCGGATAACTAAAAGATTTCCAAGAGTCGCCACGAGGGAAAATGTAAAGTGTGAAACACAGAAAGCACGGATGGAAGACTTGCTGTGATGAACAAGTTTTAACCAGGAATCTAGCCTTTGAGTACAGTACTGTTTAGCCATGGTTTAACTTGTCAGTCTATAAATATTAATTTTTCCATTCGATGAAATATCTACATTAATTACCTTCTTGGTTAATTGGCTACCTTTCGTAACAGCTGTGACCCGTTATATAGATGGTTCTGATTATTAAACTAAAGACTCAGACTCAATGTTTTTATTACAAACATAAACGCGTAAACCTAGTGCACCTATTGAAAAATACTTATTCTAACTTATGATAAAAGTCCTGAAATAGAAACAGAGACACAAAACAAATTACGTATACGATAAGAAGACTGTCCGTGGGAGCGGTGGGAGGGCAAAAGAAAATTTTACTTGAAAAGCTAAAAGAGGCTTGCTAGACAAAGTGCTTGCCTGCTTGGAAAGACTAAAATGCGCGTAACCCTAGTTGTCCCAGCTCTAAGAATTGCTACGCTCTAGACTTGTCGCATAATGATTGGTTACTAAAAATCTTGTGACTACTGCTGGGTAGTAGTAATTTTACTAAACTGGAGTACTTTACCTATGACCAAAAAGACCCGCCAGGCCCCCCGTGCGAACGTTTAGTAACATACGTAATGAAAACACAACGTTTAAAATGTGCGTTTCCAAAAGGTTCCAATTACCTCTTTGTTGATAACTGAGATGCGAGTAGTTTCAAGCTGGGAAAGATGTGCTTGTTTAATCTAAAACGGCTTGCTTAACAATAGAAGGTTAAATCATTCTAGAAAGTTGAAACGGCGAGATTTTTCTCTCAATTTAACCGACCAGCCGGAAGTCTTTGAAACATAATAAAGTAGTGATGGATTTTTTTTTAATTCTATTCGTTTTAAAATTCTAAACCATCCGACGCAAACTTTCAGTTTGAAAAATGTACCACCTGTTTCGTAGTTTAATGTGACGTCAGCGAGGGTTTTGCGTTTTCAAAGCCGGTGCGCTTTCTGGAAAGGACTTGAACCTAATAGTTTGGGTCTTTCTCATCAGTCAGTGGAATTTGAAATGCTTTTTCTTGGCAAAGGTCTATGACCACTTTGTGCAAGCATTATACTTGTCACATATTAATCCTTTAAATTGTAATGTTTATAATTAAATTCTCATTTGTTGTCCCTATACATTTCCTATAAGTGAGAAGTTGTTAAAGAATCTGTGCGATCATGTCCATAATTCTCATGACCACTCCGTTTTCTAAAGCATAGGTATTACAAGGAGAACTTTGATGCTGATCAATCTTAGAGCTGAAAGGGCTAAGCGCAGTTAGACCATCACATGACAAGATCCTCATAACTTTGTTCCTGTGATAAATTTGTGAAAGTTATAACGGGTGATCACTTTACTAGTCGTGAGTCGTTTCCCAATTTCTTAACATTATTACCATTTTAATAATAATAATAGTAGTAGTAGGTTTTTATGGCGCATTTAAAGAATTCTCAATGCGCTCTTAATAGTAAATAAAGTCTAAGTGAAACTATATATAGTAATTGTTCCTAAAAAGAAAAGTTTTCAAACGTTGCTTTAAAGTAGAAACAGATTCAGAGTTTTTGATATGATCTGGTAGACTTTTCCAGATTATCGGTGCATAATATGAAAATGAGCGGTGCCATAAGCCACAGTATTAACAGAAGGAACTTGTAAAGGCAATCTATTAGATGAGCGGAGTAAACGAGCCGGCTGGTATTTGAGAAGGAGTGAAGTCAAATAGTAAGGAGCTAAATCGTTTAAATTTTTAAATGTTAAATGTAATATTTTAAAATCGATGCGTGCGCCTATAGCAAGCCAGTTTTGTAATAGACTATTCTTTTTCGTTTTACATTTTTCATTTTCTTTTGGCCTAAAGCAAGTCCATTAGTTTTCGCAATAAATTTCGTTTTCCAGTCTTCGCAAAGACACTGAAAAGACTATAGGTTCAAACTACCCAGATCTTTAATTCCTTCTTTATGACATGTTCTCGTTCATTTGAAATATCTGTTTTACTGAGCTTTTTACACTTTGGTGAATCTCTGGGAACCTCCAACAATAAACAAAAGGATTTAATGATGAATTCAGGTAAATCAGGAGCATAGACGCAAAATGAGCCACGAGAAATGAAATTTCTGAACTGTTTGTCACATACAGTATTGTGCAAGGCAAAAAGGGAAAATAACATGCTAAGAAAACTACAGAGACAAATAAACTATTATAGGCTGACTTCCTTTGTCGGTGTGCCTCTCTTGTTTGGGCATTTTGAAGCTGATTTTGACTGTATATCTGATTCTGATGATATCTGACAACTTTGTAAAGACGAATGTACGCCACGGTTGTCAGAACATATCCTATAACGGAAATAACGCCAGGTATCATTTCAATGCCTTTCGGGAGGAAAATAACCAGGAAGGGGAAGATGCAGCTTGTTAACCATAAAGACACCAACACTAATGTAACACGTCTGGGCGTGACAAGCTCCTGATATCGCAGGTGGAGCGAAACAGCGAGAATTCTATCAAATGCAATGATAATAACATTCAGGAAAGATGAAGCGGCGAGAAGATACAGAAAATATAAATGCACAATCAAAAAAACTGTTGGACAAAAGAAGGCAAAGTCGTCTCCACTTGATGCCATTTTCAACATCACGGCGCTCATAATAGCGGTCATTAGCTGCGGTAACAATCCAACTGCAAGATCAGAGAAAGCCAGGCTTAGGAACATCTTCTTGACGGTGGCTGGTATCGTTGAGGTCTTCATTAAGGCACGGATGGCCAAAAGATTTCCTAGAGTCGCCACGAGGGAAAATACAAAGTTTAAAACACAGAAACCAAGGAAGAAACTTCTCCTGTGGGAAACCAGTTTAATCCAATAATCCAGAAATCGAGCCGTGCAAGTCTGTTCAGCCATAGTTTTACTTGTCACAATATGCATGTATTTGTCGTGGTTAAAACTGATATCTACCTTAATTACCCCCTCCTTTTATTAGCTTTTTTTCACTTCGGCCATCTGCTGTAGCGCGTAATAAAGCCGGTTCATTAACCAAAGCCTTAGACTTAATGTTATGGGTAGAGTGCAAACAGAAATTCAGTGTTATTGTTGGGAGAGATTTTTAAGGGTTGAAACACCGAATCAAATTGTACAAAACAAGGCCAACCCAGAAAACAATGCAAAGGGAAGGTTTTGCAACGCTAGCATTGAAAATAAAGGAATGAAACACCGCAATTTATAAAATAACTAAGATAGTACGCGCGCTCTCATTGGCTGAGATGAGTGTTTGCATGCGAGTATGTAAACATGGTTTTGGCGTCAAGATGTTTTGCTTTTCGCGCGCTAATCACGCAAGCGCGAATTTGAAAAAGTTTTCAAGTTCAAAACTCGACAAGTTTACTTTATTTGCCTATTCCTCGGTCGGCTGAAACTTGGAAAATCGTTACAAAGAAAGTGTGTCAATTTTTTTTCGCTTAAGCTGACATTTGAAGCGAGAAAAGTCCGTATTTTGGAAAGCATCTTTTTGCAAAACGACAACTGATTACGCGTGCAAGACTTCGTGGACAAGAATTTGCTACTGGTAAGAATTTCTCTTTTAATCAGTGCCATACAAAGAGTTTTTCGTTTTTTCTCGGGAAATTTGTTTTATAAAAGCAATAGAAAACTTTTTTCCTGTGTTTGCATAGCCTGATATAAACACTCGAGGCGTTGAGAGAATTATCGACAGTTATGCAAACTCTCGACTTCGTGTTGGGTTTGCATAACTGTCCAGAATTCTCCCAAACCCCTCTCGTGTTTATATCAGGCTATGGAAACACAGAAAACGTTTTCTATTGCTTAAATATAGGGTCCTTTCCATAAAGTTCAAGTTACCTCTCTGTCCATAATTGACATGTGAGCTGTTGCCTGCTGAGAAGAACCGTTTGTTTAATTGCAAATGCTCGGTATAGGAAATAGAACTTTAATTTATTCTAAAACGTTAAAAGGGTTAAGTTTTTCCTCTAAATTTAACTGTCCAGCGAAGTTTTGAAACATAATAGAATACAGATGGATTTTGTTTAGTTCTATTTTTTATTTAAAATTTTAAGCATTTTGATGCAATGCTTCAGTTTTAAAACGTTTAGCACCTGTTTCAGTGGTAGTTAGTAAAGTGACGTCCAGTCAGCGAGGCTTTTTAGTCTTGCAAGTCAGTGAGGTTTTTATAAATGGACTGGAGCCCAACATTATGGATTGTTTTCGTCCTTCTTCGTCTTTCTTTGAGATTTGTCTCAAATGTAGACTTGCGACGATTTTTCTAAATTGACTGCCGCAAAGCGAATGACCTTGCTTATTTGTAAACTCTTTTCGAATGCTAACGAGTACATGTGTTCGTCTCTAAAGATCCTCAACATTGCAACTTCCGCTGTAGCTTACGACAAGCCGTACGGCGCGTCTTATCTCGTACCCAGATCTCCCACGGCCAAGCGAAAGAGAGACTTCACTTTTTCAGTGGACACATACAGTCAGTTGTAAGCTACTACTTTGGCTGCCGATTGCTCGGATGGAAATCGATTTCAGCTTGAACAAAGGCCATTTTGTCACATTGTTGCTTATTCTTTGCAAGTAATCGGTACAATCACGCCTGTAAGGTTCTTGCGCCATAGCGAACACAGTTTTGTCCATAAAAAGGGGAAAATCCCCTCTTTTCTCTTTAAGAAGTTAGTTGACGATGAAAAAGGGAACTGAGTTTGATTAAGTAGGTGCTCTAAAGGTGTCTTCTTTCTTCGCAATTCGGAGAGACCAGATCGTGTTTTGAAGAATTCAATTTTAGGTGCATCCCAATGTTTAAAATGCTGAATTGAAATTCACTTTTATATGTTAGTCTTTTAGCACTGTAAGTCTTTTACATTTCGTGAAAGTCGTAGACGTAATTTAGTTCAAAGGTGTCTGCTTTCAAGTTCTCTATTGAGAGACCAATTCCAATTGTAGCGACCAATCCTCTTCCGTCTACAACACCTTTCCTTGGTCTTTGGGCACAGCAAGTCCATTCGCCACTTTTGAAACGATTAAGGCCGAAATATTTCCTGCAATTTTTCTCAAACTGTTACTCAGGTGGGGAGGCGCCCATCAGCGCGGTCATTTTGGTCATTTTTCCCTTGTTCCTTGTAACAGTCCTAGTAGTCTTTGCGAAAGTTAGCTCGTCCCAGTTTCCTTCTAGAATTGCTCGTTCTCACCAAATTTCGTCTCGCAGAACTTCGCATCCTCACGTTATATTCTCGTCCAAACGAAGTATTTTCTTCATTGTGCTTTTTACAAATGGCGAATCTCTCGGTACCGCCAGCAATAAACAATTGGATTTAATGATGAATTCAGGTAAATTAAGAATAACGACGCACATTTGGCTATGAGAAACGAAATTTCAGAAGTATTAATCAAGTACAATATTACAGAAGGCAAAAAGGAAGACAACAAACTAGAAAAACAAAATAGACAAATAAAGCATTATAAGCGGACTTCCTTTGTCTGAGTGCCTCCCTTGTTTGTGCATTTTGAAGCTGATTTTGACTGTATATCTGATTCTGGTGATATTTGACGACTTTGTAAATACGAACACATGCCACTGTGGTCAGAAAATACCCTACCAGTAAAATAACTGCAGCTACCATTTCATTGCTTTTCGGAAGGAAAATGTATATCAAGGCAGTGATAAAACTTGTTAACGATATAGATATCAATACTATAGTGACGCGTTTGGACGTGACAAGCTCTTGATATCGCAAATGGAGCGAAACAGCGAGAAGTCTGTCGAATGCAATGGTCGTGAGAGTTAGGAGAGATGCAGCGCAGAGAAAATAGAAGAGATATAACCACAAATTTATAACTGTTGGACAGAGTGACGTTAAGTTTTAGTCTTCTTTTGATGCTGTGTTCAGTATCACGGCAAAAATAATGCCGGCCATTAGCTGCGACACGAATCCCACTCCAAGATCAGAGAAAGCCAGACTAAGGAACAGGTTCTTGACGTTGGCTGGTATTGACGAAGCTTTGAATAAGGCGCGAATTACTAAAATATTTCCAAGACTTGTCACGAGAGAAAACGCGAAGTTTGAAACAGAGAGAAAAGAAGAAAGTTTCTCTGTAACGGGCAAGTTGTAGAAATTCTTCCAACGTTCGATTGCAGTACTGTTCCGCCATTTTTTACCTTGCCGGTTGTTTTTCAAGCATTTTACATTAGTTACCTGTTCTCTGTTCCATTTTTAAAATAGACGACTTCTTTGACGCTCGATGTTAATTTAGACGGGTTAATATGCCTCAAACGCACTGTGTATTGTTTGTAGAGCACAGGGTTGTAAGGTCGTTTATTAACATACATAATGAAAACACAACGTTTAAAATGTTCAATACATGGTTCGTTTCCATCAAGTTCCAATTACCTCTTTGTTGATAACTGAGATGCGAAAAGTTTCAAGCTGGGAAAGATGTGCTTATTTAATCTAAAACGGCTGGTTTAACAATAGAAGGTTAAATCATTCTAAAAACTTGAAACGGCGAGGTTTTTCTCTCAATTTAACCGACGAGCCGAAAGTCTTTGAAACATGATAAAGTAGTGATGGATTTTTGAAGTTCTATTCCTTTTTAAAATTTTAAGCCATCCGACGCAAACTTTCAGTTTGAAAAATTTAACACCTGTTTCGTAGTTTAATGTGACGTCAGCGAGGATTTGCGTTTTCAAAGCCGGTAGGGTTTCTGGAAGGGACTGGAACCAAATATTTTGGGCTGTTCTCGTCTTCCTTCTTTTTTCTTTTAGATAACTCTCAAATGTAAAACTCGCTATGTTAAAGTCTGGATGGACCACCGTACAGCGAGCGCGACTGGCCTTCCTCTTTTGTTAACTCATTTCTTGTCAAAATGCTCTTTTTTTTCCTTGTTTTTTTTTTTAACCTTTATGCTTAATACAAGCAACCACAGTACAAAGATTTTTGTACTTTTGTCCATATATCCAGAAACTTCCTTACATGAACACATTTTGTGAATGGGTGAACTTCTTTCGCGCCCCGCGATTACCTTTTCATTGATTTTTGGAAGGAGAATGTGAAATATAAAACAAAGAAAGCAAGGCGGGAAGTTCTTCTTTAGCGAGTAAATTTTAGCAAAAAATTCACCGCTTGAGAGCAGCACTGTTCAGCCATGGTTTAACTTACTAGTAAATTTACATGAACTTTTCGTTCAAAAAATATCTACAACTGAATAATTATTCCCTCGACCGTATCATGTAGCTTTGCAGTACAGAACTGCTCGGTCATGGTTAAACCTGCCAGATGATTTACTGTGTGTGCCTTTAGTTTAAAGGTCTCAATCAGACTCATCGGTTATAGGCTAATTTTGTTAAACAGCTGGAGACAAAAGGCTTGATTGGTCAGTAAATATGAAGGCCCGTCATGGTCAAAATTGCGTGATTAATTTTTCCCTCTTGATGAATTAATTTGATGAGTACCTGCTATTAATATTTTGTCTGTTTGTAATTATTTTTAGCTATGCCAGTAATTATTTTCGTGTTCTTTTTAACTTTTCCATGCGTCATAATTATGTTTTCCTCACCAGGAATTAATTTTTTTATGTGCCGTCTATATTATTATGTTTCTTGGAAATTATTTTTGTCCATTACGCAAATTATTTTACGGTTGCTGATTAGTTTTTTGTCTGCTATAATTATGTTTTTTGGATAATTAATTGATTTTGTTGTACGTTTCTCATAATATAATGATAATTTAATTTTTTCCATTCGAGAATTATTTTTCGTTAGTCATAATTATTTTTTCGTAGTTTTGGCAAATGTCCCATAAGCCTCTACGGTAATGCACCTAAAACAAACAGGCGGCTCGTACTCGTCGGTCACGTGCACTGGTGTTACGAGAGAGAAATGAACGTGGGTTCGCGATTTTCTTAAAGAATCTAAAAAGCGTTCTTAATCTGTTGGCTAGTGCTGATAAGTTAGAGACAGACGTTCTGATTCAAACGAGGAGTCGATTAGAGGATGCTTCGGCACGTTGTCATTCCTGCTGAATGACATGTCGAATGGTTTCACAAATGCTACTGGTATTCCGTCGAATGCGATTCAAGTTCCTGTGCAGCACCTGAAGAATTCTTTAACCTACATAACTGATTTGCTTTCAAGTCGGATAGAATGCCGCAACAATGTAGATTTTTGACTCACTGGATATATCTTATTCTGCACCGCTGGATCTTTCACAGACAGGACGAGGTCGCAAACGCTATGAAATAACTAAAGACCAACTCAAACACTTACGATCGCTTTGTTTTTCTTTGGGAAGTAATTGCTTGCATTCTTCAGGTTAGTCTTTCAACCCTTCAGCGGCGACGATGCAACGCACTCGCCCAGCTTGGCCCGCAAAAACAAAACTGAGAAGGAGTCTAGACTGCTCAAGAATAGCGAAGGAAATCGTGATGATGAGTGGTATTTTTGTAGAGGGCAGGAGGCAGACATTGCTTTATTCTTTCAAGAGACAAGAATAAGAAAGATCAGAAAAATATTTGAAGAAAACTGTTCGACTATTGCCCGAAACAGGGCGATCACAAGCAACGAACCTTGAAAGACAGAAACAAACAAAGTGGATCGAAATGCACCAATCACAAGTAAACATTTGTTTCCTAAGAGGTCCGCTAAGATGATTGACGGAACAGAAAAACTCAAAATTCTTTCGAAGTTTTCAAAACACGCAGCCCAATACAACGAATTTAGCTATAAGATCTCCATAAACGTGCACTTCATCCGAGGGAACAGCAATGTTTCGCGGTGCATAATTTTTCAAGCCTTAGCGTATTTGTTTGTTATTACATGCAGTGTTCAGAGTGTGACCCCAGCGATGATGATGACGAAATGGAAGTCGATACTGAGGACACCACACCCATTTCTCAAGGCCGCCAAAGACGGGTCATCAAAGAACCTACTAAATTCACTCCAGACAAGGGAGAGGTAAGTCAGGTTGCATCAGGAATACATGTTGCAAACTACTTTCATCTGTCTACTGACTCAAGCCTGACACAATCGGAGTTAACCGCTGGAGACATTAAATGCAATTCTGACTTTGGAGCTTGTAGGTGGAGCCACGTGACCATTTGAGTAGAAGCTACTCGGCAGTTCTTTCCTGTGGAATTGGTTATTAAGTTGTGCAAGGCGATAAATTCTACTATCTCTGTCTGATCTCGGGCGCAGTCCCCTCTCATCAGTTCTAACCTAAATTCCCTTCTTTTGAGTAACTCGGGTGAGGGCTGTCTGATTCATGTAGCCCTGCGCTTCTTCAGGACCTCTATTGTCACTACTCCCCATATCCTACAGCTTTTATTGTTCTAAGGAGTTGGGGCATTGCCGACCCCTGCATGTTTTTTGTCGTGAAACCACTCATTGATCCGGTAGGAAAAATGCGTTATTGTACATGGGTGTGGTCAACATGGCTAGATATTGGCCAATAAAAACGCAAAAAAGAACGATGAATACCCAGCCATCTTCATGGAACAAGCTTGATCAATATTCAAAGGATTAATTACATGGCCAAAAAGAGAACTTATTATTGCGGGACCAACACCGAGCGTGCAGGAGGGGCTCGTCTTTCCCTCTCACATGGTTACTATCGGTCAGGAAATGGTTAGCGAAAATTATTCTTCAAGGCCAGGCAAGAGTCAGAGAATTTCACTTTGACCAAGGGAAAATTTAAGTCCTTGAAATAAGTCAAGATAAAGTGAAATTTTAAGAGTACACATTTTTTTTTATCAATTCATGGACACTCCACGTGACTTGCTGAAAGCATAAATCAGTCGTGGAGAGGATTGCTGTGAGGGGTGGGGGGGGGGAGGGGGGCGGTTGAGTCCATCAAAGACTAATTTCTGAATTTGTTAATTCATTTGGTCAGGGAAATTTGCAGTTCTCAGGGAATTTCAGAAACCTATACACTTCTGTCCATTTAGAAATACAATGTTTGATGCAACTACGCGTTCATCTTAAACAGATTCCTCAGAAAACTTGTGCATTTATTTGTGGCCGTTTACTAATCAAGATCTGTGGTTGATTTTCGCAGAAGCCAAAATTAGAAGAAAGCTCTGCGCCTGCAGCGAAAAGAGGAAGGCGCCCTGGGCGAAGAAGCATAGAACCACCTGAAAAGAAGAAGAAGCCTGAAGACTCTCGCACTGAGTGTTGTGTTTGCAAACAGAGCGGCACCAATTCTAATCTTGTGAGGTATGCTGGGAAGTTCACCATTGTCACCGAGACAATAATGCACCTTGTTTACACCCCAGAATTTGGCATAACCATTGTCTCCGATTTCTCTTGGGACGACTGTTATACCTAGGAGAAATTATGGTGCATTATGGTCTTGGTGAAGGTGGTGAAGATTTCAACGTTTCTTAAGTCACCGCAGAGCGCAGAAGAGTTATACAGACCTTTCTCCCACCCTGAAATTCACTCTTCTTTGTTTGTTTGCTTTTATATTTCGTTGTTGTTGTAATATTTGTAAGCTTATCTCAACTTTAATGGTCACATTTTCTACCCCCCTCCCAATTTCCTCTGCTTTTAAAATCAAATATGGCGGTTTCTGCAGACTTAAGGAGCCTGATCAGTGCCAGGCCTGATGACATTGTTTATTTATTTATTTACTCACTTATTTATTCTTTACTACTTTTATGCAGATGCGACCAGTGCAAGCTTTGTTATCACTTCCAATGCCTTGATCCTCCGATAAAAGTAAGTTCAGTTTTAAAGGGCGTATGTCACGAGGATATCGCTTTTTTAGGTCAATTCTGTGCTGAAGTCATTACTTTGTGCCTGACTACACACAAAGTGCTTTTACAGAGATATGAATAAGATATCAATCAAATTTCCTCAGCGAGCACAAACCATCTGCCCACCAACCCCTCCCCTAAGCCAACATTAACATTTACTTCTCACTTAAAGCAAAATGTTGGCTTAGGGGAGGGCTAGGTAGGCAGATTCCTAGAAATGTATAATGATCCAGCATTTTTTGTTGGTTTTTGCAGGTATAGCAAAAAAAAGATGGCCCACTTTTTAAAAACTTTTAATCCATGTCAATCCTTTCCATCCGTAGCAATAGTGAATAGCTAGGAAACGGCCTAAATATAAGCTTGAATAACAAAACTAAACCATAATTTTTGAAATTATTTTGATGCAAAGACCCTTTTTTACTTTTTTACACGATATCAAATAGCGTACTAGTTTTACAAAGCCTGAATACCACGAGCCCTGTGATTGGTCGTTGTCTATGAAATATTAGAGTACAGACATACAGACGACGTCACGGGGAAAATGTTTTTCTTTATTTTGTCCAACAAGTTGCTCGGTTTTGAAAGTTGTCGCGAGATTATTTCGAATTGAGCAAGTAAGTCCTCGAAAATAGTTTATCACGAGCTGTTTACAAGAAAAAGGAAAAACCCGAGACGAAGAGTATTCTTGGCGACTTGAAATGGCCTCAACTGAAAGAAATCGTCTCGGTCGCATGTTGCCGTGCGTCTGTTCAGTAACAGCTCACAGAGTAACACGTTATCATAAAGCTGCAACCTTTACTTTGTCGTGACTGTCACACTACGTTCCTCGTTCAAAATTGTTAGTACAAAGTTGAGGTGTACTTCTAACTTTTAAGCCTGTGGATAAAATCCTTCAGTTTGACCATTTAAATGAAACCCAGTCAGCTGTCCTATCACATGATAGTGTTTTGCAAAACAAATTTGGAGTTATCGTTATTTTTTGTCTACTGTCTTGTAGGATGGAAAGAGCTCCTTTTCGTTAAGACTTATCTTACTTTTTATTTTTATTTTGCAGGCCAACCCCAAGACGCGAGGATACCTGTGGTTCTGCACAGAATGTGACGAATCGGTAAGTGATTGAGAACTTTGGATAACACGAGGAGCAATATTTCATACGATACCCGTGGGGGGGGAGGGTACCCCAAAGGATATGGTTTTTGCGCCGTTTTGGTCTGAAAACGGGTATGGTTTTCGAGGGAATGCATGAACGTATTTGTCGTTTCAACGGAATAAGAAAGAAAGAGTAATACGCGAATTCGAGGTGGATTTTAAGAAAATAAATTTCAGTCGTTTGACTGAAATAAACTCCCGCTATTTCGGACTCTCACTTATGAAAACACCAACTGGAGGTCCCTGCAATGTCCGGTAATGATAACATAATTTCTGCCTACGCCAGGTCTGAAAACGGGTGTGGAAAATGTCAATTTTGGGGTGTGAAATTGGGTCAGGATTTGGAGAACCGGCCGGCACACCCCCATCACGAATTCCCAGGAATACCCCTCCGGGGGTACGATATCAACCTGCCGCTTCTAAGCCCTGGGCTAATACCCCTCCTCCGCAAGCGGTTCTAGGAGGGGGCCGTTGCGGGGGAAGGGGGTGTGGGTGGCTAAAAAATTACTGAGAAGTTCTTTGTTGTGGTGCTGTTTATTGGTTAAAGCCCATTAGCGTTACCATTTAAGTACGACCACTACTATACAGAAAGTCTTTACACTTTGGCATGTTGATTTTGTTTGTTAGGAAGAGGAAAGCGACGAAGATGTAGATGTAGAAGATATGAGTACAACTGACGCTAAAACAGAAAAATATGACAAAGAAACAGAGCAGAAAAACAGTGAAAAGAATGAAAAGAACGCGGATGAAGGAAAAGACGAAGGAGACAAAAGTGTAAAGAAAGACAAGAAAAAGAAAGAGGAAGGAGTTGAAGATCAGAACAAAGCGGCTGAAAAAGACATGCAAACAAATGTAAATAAAGCCATCAAAGAGAAAGAAGAACAAAAGGGAGAATTTGAGAAAGCAGACCAATCCAAGAAGGTAGACGGAAGTAAAAAGAAAGTAGACTCGAGAGAAGCAGAAGATGTAGAAAGATCAAGTAAAGAGCCAAAAAACAAGATGAAACGAAAGTAGAGGAGGAAAAATTGAAACTAGGCAAAGATGTAAAGAAGGCAGATAAAGACAAGGGGAAAGGCGACGGAAATGTAAAGAAAGCAGACGTAGAACGAGAAGAGGTAACAAGGGTAGAGAAACAACAACAAGGAGATGTGAAGAGAGGAGATAAAGAGGAAGAGAGACAAGGAAAAGGAAACAGAGCAGATAAGAAGGAAGGGAAAGCATGTGATATGACAAAGGAAGAAAAAGAGAAACAACAGGACGCAAAGCAGGCAGGAAATGAGAAGGGGAAAGCAGATTCAAAGAAAGCAGATGAGCAGGAAGAAAAACATGTTGAGAAAGTAATCGAGGAGAAACGAGAAAACGCAACAAGGACACAAAAAACAAAAGAAAATGCTAAAAAAGCTGATAAGGAGAAAGGGAAGGAGGATGTTAAGAAAGTAGATAAAGAGAAGGAAGAACGTGAAAATGTTAAGGGAGCAGACAGGGACAAAGAGAAACCACAAGATGTAACAACAAAGGCAGAAAAGGAGAAGGAAAGAAATGCGAAGAAAGCAGACATTGTAAAAAGAGAGCAAGGAGTGAACACAGCAAAAGTAGAAAATGAGAAGCCAGAAGATGCACCAAAGGCAGCGAGGGATAAACGTGAAAAAGATGTAACAAAAACAGATAAAGAGGCGAAACTGAAGAAAGATACAAAGACGACGGCGGGAGATAAAGAGATACAAGAAGAATTCGACGATGGCGATGATGAAAATGCCTCATTAGCAAGTTTGGTGCGGAAGGGAAAGAAAGCTAATGCGTGAAGGATCGTGACTTTTTTTGGACAAGTGATTTTACTGTTTTGTTACGTTTTTTAAGAAATATAGGTCGACCTTGTTTATATATTTCTTCAAGCTAGCCTATTCGCCACTTTTTAAATGAGGAGGGAATTGGAGCCGAACTGTGCCCGCAGTTGTTTATGGGATCGCACGTTTTTCTCCAGTCCCTAGTAAGTGTCCCAGAAGCCTTTGCGAAAGTTAACTCGACCCAGTTTCCGTGGCGAATAGCTCAAAAGCTAAGCGCATTTTACATCACATCTCTTGCTGAGCTTCAGAAATTCTCACAGTTTAAAGTGCTCAGTGAATTTCTTGCTGCAAAATGTTGACTGAGCAAAATAATCAACCTCTAACCCCCGCTTCTCTTGCTGACCGGAGTATTTAACTCGAAGATTAAGACTTATCATCGAACAAAACACTGTGTATTGAAAGAGACCGCCGACGATTATTTTATATTGGACTTGGCATGCAGAACGCCGTAAACGATTGTTAATTACAAAAATGAAATTAATTCCTAGTAATTTATGTGCAAGTCGGATCATTATACTTTTCTGGGAAACTGTCCACCTACCTCTCCCCTAAGGCAACATGGTCACGTGACATTTTGTGGTTTGCGGTTTTCTATGAAAAACCCTATGCTAAAGGTCTCTAATAACACTTCTCACTTAAGGCAAAATGTTGGCTTAGGGGAGGGGTAGGTGGGCAGTTTCTAGTCTGTGCTCGAATTTCGTCTTTGTTTCCTTTCGTACCCTTTTAATGAAAAATAAACAAATGAATAAGTAAATAGATGATGATTTACAAGTAGCAGATCCACATTGTAGATCTCTGTCCTTTTCTTTCTTACCTGTGATTGATTGTTTTCAGCAATAAAAAAAATTATTGATTATCCATTGAACTCAACGCGAATTTTTTACAGGCTCTTTAGTATGAATTTCAATATCGTATTTATTCGATTAACCGCCCTGGGCGCTTATTAAATTTTTGGACCTTGAGAGTGGGCGCTTGTTCAAGGCTGGGCACTTATTAGATTTTCACTGTTCGAAGATGTAACGAAGCAAGGTTTGTGTAAAACACTCTGAAGAAAACTTCGTCTTCGGGGAAGTCGCTTATTAGTTAAGTAACTATAATATCAAAACAGGAAAGAACAAAGCGGCCTGAATATTCCCGATGTTCCGAACGTCAAGCCGTTCTTCTTCGAGGGATTTATTGAAGAAACTGAAAGTCGTTACCAATACGTAAATATAGTTAAAAAGCGGTACTGTTGGAAATTTGATATGAGTAAAAATTTAAAATGAATAAACTAAACAAAACAGTAACTGATATAAGCCCAGGCTAACTCATGATGGCCAAAAAGTTAAAATAAGGAGAAAATATATTAAAGAATATAGCATATAATACATAAAAATTGATGTCACAAGTGCTGCATCTGAAAATGACAGAATTGTTTGGCGGAAACTACTTCAGTCCCGCATGGCCACACCCTTCAACAGAGACCGTTTTTGGTGGCGCACAGAGTTTACTGGGTCACAAACAGTCTCCGATCAGATCAGTGATAAAAGTAAACCGGTCATTAGACTTTCTCAAAGTCCTTCGCTTCTCATTTCCGGTTCCGGTAGTTTGGCCCAGCTCTCTCGCTCGCTTTTGCCGCAAAAAACATATAAGAGTTCTCGTCACTGGAGACGTATCAATATGTAAAAGGTTTTCAAAAGTTTCACGCCGGTGTGAAACTAAAATGTGCGGCCTGTCTCTCCTTGCAATTTTTACGTTTTGAGGATTAACATAATGACATTTAACATTCGTTTTGTATTCAAAACAAAAAAGTAGCATAACAGCACCAGCGCCTTTGACAACAAAACTTATCTCCGAGCGCCATGGGCTCTAAGCAAGCGAGACTCAACGCTAGTAAGAGCGTTCTTGTTTATGCAATAAGTCGCTTGAAACAGTCACTAAGCACCATTTCCCGGCCTATTTTGGCAAAAACAAAGAGAAGGAAAAATTTCAAATTTGTGAACAAAACCCTGGACTAACCCCCTTGAAAAAATGCAAATTCTGCGACTTTCTTAAATCGATGGTTTTTATAGACTAGAAGGCTAGCGTTTAATCTAAAACAGCACCAAACACCTTTTCCCGGCCTATTTTGTCAAAATTGCAAAAGGGAAAAAATTTCCAATTTTTGACCAAAACTATGGACTAACCCCTTTGAAAAAATGCAAATTTTGCGACTTTCTAAAATCGATGTTTTTATAGACTAGAACGGCTACTTTTTAATCTAAAACGTAACCAAACACCTTTCTGGCCCTATTTCACCAAAAACGAAAGGAAGAAAAAATGACAAATTTTTTACCAAAACCATGGACTAACCCCTTTGGAAAAATGCAAATCGTGCGACTTTCTTAAATCGGTGTTTTCATAGACTAGAAAGGCTACTTTTCATTTTAAACGTCACCAAACACCTTTTCTTGGCCTATTTTGCCAAAAACGAAAATAAGAAAAAATTTCAAATATTTGACCAAAACCATGGCCCAGCCCCTTTAGGAAAATCCAATTTTGCGACTTTCTTAAACCGATGTTTTTATAGTCCTTAGAGGCTAGTTTTCTATTTACTTCGTCCCCAAACACCTTTTCTGGCCCTATTTTGCCAAAAACGAAAAGAAGAAAAAATGACAATTTTTTTCCCTTTGGAGAAATGCAAATTTTGCGACTTTCTTAAATCGGTGTTTTTATAGACTAGGAAGGCTAGTTTTCAATTTAAAACGTCACCAAATACCTTTACTTGCCCTTTTTTTGCTAAAAGAAGAAAAAATTCCAAATTTTTGACCAAAACCATGGCCTAACCCTTTTGGAAAAATGCAAATTTTGCGACTCTTTTAAATCGATGTTTTTATAGGCTAGAACGGCTAGTTTTCTTTCTAAAACGTCACCAAACACCTTTTCTCGGCCTATTTCGCCAAAAAAGAAGAAGTAGAAAACATTTCAGATTTTTGACCAACATCATGGCCTAGACCCTTTGGGAAAATGCAAATTTTGTGACTTTCTTAAACCGATGCTTTTATAGTCTTGAGAGGCTAGTTTTCTATTTACTACGTCCACGAACACTTTTTCTGGTCCTATTTCGCCAAAATTGAAATGAAGAAAAAATGACAAATTTTTGACCAAAACCCTTTGAAAAAATGCAAATTTTGCGACTTTCTTAAATCGATGATTTTATAGACTAAAAAGGCTACTTTTCAATCCAAACCCTAGATTTTTTGAAAACCGAGAAAGCCCCCTGACCTAAAGAAAGTGTTAAATAACCTAACATGCTATCACGCGTTTTTTTTTTTCTTTTTTAAGAGCGGGCGAGGCGAGAGGGAAAAAAAACTCTTCCCGTGAGAGGCATAGAGGGACAGTAGGGAGAGGGCGTGATCTCAGGCTAATATTTCTCTATTGAAATATTACCGTCTCATAAAACACGAAATTACAGTAAATCCTCTATTAAGCCACCCCCTCTAAAATAAGCGCCTTCTCTCTGATAAGTGCCCCCTTTTCAGGGGAAGAAAGTTAATAAGCCCCCCTCCCCTTCCCTTTATTATTCTTCACTAATAAATGATAGACTGTATTAATCAATCTCGACTGTAAAACTTCGTGTAGACTGATTCAGGATGGTTTATTTTTGATCCTCGTCTGCCCAACTTCCATCTTCGTGTACTTGAGCTTTTCCACCTTGTATTTTGGTTCTTTATTGAGAACTGATACCATCGTCTTTGAGTGTAAATATCAATAAGCTACAACAATTGGAATCACATTTACATTCCTCACGTTCAGAGTCATTGTCAAGGAAGTTTTCCTAAACGGTTGCTTCGCGCGCGAGCGGAGCCCCATAGCTAAGAAAATTTGGTCATGACGTCAGCGTACGACCGAACGCTGACCGTACAGACTCTGGGGGAGGGAGAGGGAAGTCAGGAGTCAGCTAGTCGGGGGAGGAGTATGTTGTAGCTGAGGTGAAATTTTTGCACTTCAAGCACCCCGCTCGTTTCGGCGGTAAATCATATGGCCAACCAATTTCGTTGGAAGAAAAACATGACAATTAGATAGCGGCAGTGAGAGTGTGCTGCACGTGCAAAGTTGTTTTTTCGGCTAATTAGAAAAAAAGTGTGCTGCACGTGCAAAGTTTTTTTGCTAATTAGAAAAAAAGTGTGCTGAACGTGCAAAGTTTGTTTT